ACCAGAAAAACAGAAGATTTTTATCAACTTTTGCAGTTGGAAATCTATTGAATGTGTAACCAAGATGCATCAATAATAATGGGTGACTGGAATACAAAAGTTGGAAAGAAGGAAGAAGGATCAATAGTTGGAAAACATGGACTTAGTGAAAGAAATGAAGCTAGAGATAGAATGACAGAATTTTGTACCATCAATGATTTATTCATTGCAAATACTTTTGTAAGAAACATCAGTGACAACTATACACACGGACCTAACCTGATGGTCTACACAGGAATCAGATTTATTATATCTGTGGAAAGAATCACTGGAGAAGCTCAATAACAGCTGTGCAAACTAGGCCTGGTGCTGAACAAACCATCAACTATGCAAGTTCAAACTGAAGCTAAAGAAAATTAAAACCACAAGAACCAAAATATGACCTTCAATCTATCCTACCTGAATTTAAAAACCATCTCAAGAATGGGTTTGAGGCCGTGGACATTAGTGAATGAAGATCAGATGAACTGTGGGAGGATATAAAAAATATCATCCATAATGGACGCAGAAGGTCATTACAAAGACAGAGGAGGAAGAAAAGACGGAGATGGATGTCAGAAGAGACTCTGAATATTGCACTATAGTGCCAAGAAGCCAAAACAAAGGGAAGAAATCAAGAGGTTAAGGAGCTGAACAGAGATTTCAAAGGGTAGCTCGAGAAGACAAAACAAAGGATTATAATGAAATGTGCAGAGAGCTAGAGTTAGAAACAAAAGGGACAAACTCGCTTGACATTTCTTAAGCTGAAGGAACTAAGGAACAAATTTAAGCCCAGAGTTATAATACTTAAGAATGCTATTGGCAGACTATTGAATGATCCAGCATGAATCAAAAGAAGATGGAAGGAGTACAGAGTCACTCTACCAAAAAGAATTGGCTGACACAGAAGGATTTCATGAAAAAGCATATGACCAAAATACAATGGTGATGAAGGAGTAAGTTCAAGACGCTCTGAAGGAATTGACAAAAAAAACAAGACCCCAGGAATCAATGGACTACCAATTGACGTATTTCAGAAAACAGATGCAACCCTGGATGTGCTCACCAAGTTGTTCCAAGAAATCTGGATGACAGCTACCTGGCCAGCTGACTGAAAGGATCCATATTTGTTTCCATTCCAAAAAAGAGTGATCAGAGAATGGAAATTTTCAAACAATATCACATGCAGGCAATATCCTGTTGAAGATTATCCCAAAACTACTGGAACAGTACATCACCAGAGAACTACCAGAAGTACAGGCTGGGTTTAGAAGAGGCAGGGGCACCTTCGGGGCATCATTGTCAATGCCAGATGGATCTTGGTTGACTGCAGAGAGTACTATCTGTGTTTCATTGACTACACAAAAGCATTTGACTATGCGGATCACAACAAACTGTGGCTAACCTTGAGAAGGATGGGAATCCCAGGACACCTACCTGATTGTGCTCAGGCAAACCTACACTTGGAACAGAAGGTAGTAATCAGAACTGAGCAAGGAAACACTGCATGGCTCAAAATAAGGAAAGGAGAGCCTCAGGGATGTGTCTTGTCTCCATACCTTTTCAGTCTATAAGTGGAACAGATCATTTGGGAGGCTGGTCTTTACGAGGAGGAATGTAGCATCAGAATTGGAGCAAGACTCATCAACGACTTGTGTTATGCAGATGACACAATCTTACTTAATGAAACAGAGGAGGACCTGATGTATCTGCTGCAGAAAGTCAAGGACTGTCATCTTCCATATGGATTGAAGCTCAGCATCAAGATAACAAAGATTCTCACCACTGGGCCAATTGGCAGCACCATAATAGATGGAGAAGAGATTGAAGTTGTTAACAACTACAGCTTGCTCAGCTCCACAATCAATACTCTTGGAATCAGCAGTCAGGAAATTAAAAAAAAAATTGGATTAGAAAAGTCATCTGGCAGGGACCTCTCTCGAGTTCTGAAGTGCAAAGGTGTCAGTCTAGAGACTAAGGTGCACCTGATCCAGGACATTGCCTTTGCAATTACTTGCCATGCATCAGAAAGCTAGAGAATGAATAAAGATGACAGAAGCAAAATTGAGGCCTTTGAGTTGTGGTGCTGGAGAATAGTATTGAACATCTCATGGACTGCCAGGAGAACAAACAAGTCGGTCGTGGAGAGAGGGTGAAACCAAGTTGCTCTCCGGAGGCAAGGATTTTGAAGCTCCATCTCACATCCTTTGGGCATGTTGCAAAGAGGGACTAGTCCTTAGAGAAGGACTTATACTTGGAAGGGTGGAGGAAGATAGCCAGAGAGGAAGACCCTGGGTGAAATGGATTGGCTCAGTGACTGGGGTACTAGGGACTCGGTGAGACTGGATCAGGATAGGACAGGGTTCAGAGCTATTGTATATAGGGTAACTATGAGTTGCAGGTGACTTGATGACACATAACAACAACAAACAACAGTGACTAATAGTAAGTTTTGGGCTTTTTTTAAAGGTCTGCTACTAAAAGCTTAAAAGACCTGGAAACCACTGGACTAATCCCTAAGGTGTCTTCAAATCTGTCTGTACTGTGAGGATAAGCACTGAGACCCTCTAAAGTCTTGTTTTAGGAGTAGAGACTTCTTTGAACTGCCCTACATTCAGCAATTAAAGACCCTTTAGAATTCAGCAACCATGGCAAACATTTCCCAGTTAACTCTGGTCGAACACTGCCTTCAGTATCCTTTGTTACTTGCTGACCTTGACGTTTCTCCCAATAGCCTGGGAGCTCCATGTGGACAGGTGCATGCCTACCTACCTGTCATCCAGCCTCCCTGATTCCTAGAACAGGTTAAACCCTCCAACTTCAGTTGAATGCCTAATATAGTAAAATTTTATGTGTAGATAACTCTATCTTAGTTTGCCCCCTCTACTTCCCTTTGAGACACATCTGTACATACTGGGAAATTCCAGAGCCTGAAGTCTAGAAAATTATTTATTTCCATTTTCCACTCATTAGTTGGATGTAGCTTCAGATAAAATGTCTCTGCTCCATAATTTTCTCATTTGCTAAAATGATGAAAATGCACTGTCCTATTGATCTGACAGGTTTGTTGAAAGGTTACAGCAATTAATAGATGCAACAGAATCCCTAACATTTAAAATTCTTTCAGTGCGGATGATTCTTGTCCACTTTGTTTTAGCCATAGGAGCTAGAAGGCCATCCTGGGGACAGGACACTTGGACCAAGTACCATCTCACGGTCTTAGGTTCATAGCTTGGACACCTCCAACTCACCTGATCCCTCTGACCACACACTCAGTCCTCCTCTTCCAATCAGATCTTCACCTTCTCAGTTCCTCTTGTAACATCTTCATTCCTCTTGGAAACTGCCAAGACACCCAGACCTCACCAACCTCTTTCTCCTTTAGCCTCTACTTGACCCTGGCTCTAGGTATACTTTTACTGCACTTGCCCGTTTCTTTGTTTTCTCTGCCTGATCCTTGATAGTATGCTTACCACAGACTCACACTCTTACTGAACTTGAGCTCTTAGAGCAACAATGTCAGACGTTGGTGAGCTTGACAACCAAGATGAGAATGGAAGCGCTTGGCAAAGGATAGTCCAGCTTCTCTACTGGCTGGCTCGACCTTCAGGCTCCTTCCTCAGAACATGCATTTCCTCTGGCCCCTCTACACCCAATACAAAGGTTCCTGCTCCTCTCCTTCATTACTAGTATCGCAGCGCTGCTGAAGGAGTGGAGGTATACAAGATACTGTGTAGACAAGCCTGTGCTTATTGCCCTTAGGACAGTCTTTACCCTCCTTCCAGCTTTTCTTTGCCTGTACTGAACTCTGACTCCCATGACCTCCCTTACCTGATATTGCCTGCTCCTGTCACCCAGGTCTGGTGCCTCATAAAGAACAAATAGATTTGCGGACCCGACACAACCTTTTAATTCCAAGCAGAGTCCCCCTCCCCCAGCATTATCACACACACAGTGGAAAGGGATGCCAGGATCTGGGAAGGAACAAAACCCAGACCTGGGGGGAGGAAAAAAAAATATATATATATAATTATATACACACATATATTTGTAGAGAAGAAGAGCTGAGAGTGTGACTAAGGTAGGGTAGAAAGTTAGGTGAGGAAAGCAGCTGGGGGTTCCCCATTAAATTACATTCTTTAGAGAGCATAGTGTGGAGTGCATGGTTATGTGTGGGGCTTGGTAGCCAGGACACTCAGAAAGGTCCCCTTATTTGGCTTCTTGGTCCCTCCAAGAGAGCCTCAAAGACCCAGGTTCGGGCCGGTACCCAGGTGGTGCTAGAATACAGAATTCTAGCTGACTCTGTGTGGAGGCTGATGGTGGACTGGGATTTGTAGAGGCGACATCTCCACTCTAAGCCAAGGCTTCTGGGGAAGCCACAGAGCCGAGCAAGAGGCTTCAAAGCTTGAGGGTTGCAAGTTGAGGACAGGGCAAGCTAGAGGGCAAGCTGACCCCTCTCTGCTCGAGGTCAGAACTCTAACCTGCTCCTTTGAGAGCCAGAGAAGCTAGAGTCCTTAGTACAGGGGGCGCTGTCAGAGTGAGGCCTGGAGGAGTGCTAGGGTGTACACAGGGTCCCGGAGTTCTGCCTGGCCGCTTCCTGCCTCCTACTCACTCCCACCAGGGCAATCCCCACTCGTTGACAAAAGCTGACAGTGTGCCTGATTGCTGAGTCCCCACTTGGATTTCTCCTCCCCCTCTCCTGTGACCGTTGTGTGGGGTGGGAGGCAGGGAGAGGGTACAAACATTAACTTTCTGTGCACTGGGCTGCTATGCAGTGAGGACCAGGGATGACAAGAGGAGGTCCCTCTGGCTCATTATGGCGAGGAGAGGCCACGCCTCACCACCCCAGAACTACAGAGGTGTTGGCTTCCCTTCCACCTGGGGAATGGAGTCATTCCTCCCTCCCTGCTCTCCCAAGAGATGACCACTCCCAGACCACCAGGGGAAGGGGATGCATTGGGATCTCCTGACCCTAGCTTCAGAGCCCTGAGGCAGCAGGGGACATTGTGGTCACAGAGCAGATTGGGAGGGGCAATCAGAAGAGAGAGGCTTTCTTCTTGAGTTCATTCCGTTTCCACAGAGCGAGCTTGCCAAACTCTTCGGGGGACATGGAGAACACCCTTGAGAAGTCCTCAGCTGATAGATGTCTCTGTGAGGAGACACAGAGGCCACTTAGGGAACAGAGGCTTGGTAGGGTGTGGGGTCTGTGCTGAGTGACTAAGGGACACTCAAAGACAAGCTGCCCATCTTCCCCCTACACATACAGGCAGGGGGCAGTGCCCAGCCAGTGGCACCCCCCACATACCTCAAGCCGCATTCGATCCACACCTGGAGGCAACTTGGTTCGCCCCCTGTTGGTCACCACCAGCATTTCATAGGGATAGATCTAGCAGTGAGGGAGGAAGGCCATGTCAGGCACAGAGAACTCTCTTGTCAACGTAACCTCCTTAATTCCTTAATGAAGCCCCCTTTTCAGCCGGCAGGGAACATCTGGGGTTCATGCCATTTTGCCATCCATCTTCCCCAGCTCCCCACTGCTTTCCCAGGAGGCCCTTCAGCGCATTCAATCTCCCTAGCGTCTCCCCCAGCTTCCACCCGCAAGAGATGCTTCTGTCCCTTATTCTCCCACCAGCTTGTTCCCTGCCCACCTCCCCTGGCTCTGTCCCCTGCCCCTCACCTTCTGCTCCAGCACACAGGGCAGGGAGTTCCCCCGGTCCATCCTCCCCCTCTGGCCCTCTCCGTTCTGGGGAGACCAAAGCCGCAGTGAGCCAGAGCGGGGCAGGGAGACCTTCCCAGCCTTACGCTGGGTGGCTTACATCTTCACCAGGCAACTCTGGCCCCACCCACCCATACACAGTTCCAGTTGCTTGTCCCAGGTTTCTGGTATTCCATGTATTGTCCTCCAGAAGGAACTCACCTGCAGGCCTGTGGAAGAAAAGAATAAAGGTTCAGGGACAGCTCCAAAGTCTGCATGCCTATAAGCCTTTTCTAGCTTCACTTCCCCTCTTCAAAGCCTCACAGCCCTGTGCACATCACAGACACAGGCTGTGCTAAAGTCTGCTGAAACCTTTTCACAGTTCCCCTGACTTTGGTGTGGTCCTTGCTTCTCACCTGGGCTTCCACTTTCACTCCCTGATGGGCTGAAGTCTGTGGACTGTAGCTGGAAGGGACACAGAATTGTTAGAAGGAAGCTGATGGACTCATTTTCCCTCTTCTCTTTGCCCACCTCTTGCTCCCCAGGCTGGCCCAGTCCCTCGGGGGCACCCATGTGCACACTCCTCCCACAGTCTGCATCTCTGCTCCTTACCCGGCTCAGGGTGGTTCTGCCATAGGAGGGGAGAGAAGACGACTTAGACGTTCCAGCGTGCAGGGCTGGAAAAGAGCAAGAGGCCCAGGTTCAGTGCGTGTAGCCCTAACAGTCATGCCCCAGAGGTGGAACTGAGGGGAGCCTGGTGGCTCCTAGCTCCTACCCATTGCCTTCAGCAAATGACATAGTGCTGGTGCTTTGGAATGGTCTTAAAAACCCTTCCCTTTTCTCTCTAACCAGATGAAACAAATGCATATTTGGGCCATATGCCTGATTGTTAAAAGTCTATATTCAGGGAAGAGGGGAGAAAATGTGCAACAATGAATAAAAAAAATTTTTTAAAAAAAGTCTATATTCAGCTAAAGCTAAGGTTGAGTCAAACACCACTATCATGTAACAAGACTCTGGGATACAGAAATAAATAGAAAATTCAGTCAAGATTATTTGATTATTAGAATACATTAACAACAACGTTAGTCAAATTTTAAATGTTTGACATTATACCATAAAAAGTAATTTTCTCAGCATTGTTGGTAGATTGTACCTGCAGTCACTATACTATATATCTACATTGTTTGACATCACAATAATATTACCAAACTGCAGATTATAATTCATGACAGTTTGTCTTTAGTAATGTGTTTTTTAGAAAGAATCCTGTATCTAACAGTCTAACTAGAGTAAGTCTGAAAAAGGTCCTTCACTTCGAATTACTTTGAATTGTTAACATTCTATAGCAATTGTTTGAGCAAGCATTTTTGTGCAAATGTTTACCTTTAAGAGGTTCAAAACTATAGTGAACTATCTTCCTACAGCATTATTGTAAAATTTTTGGAAGTTTTTATGTGTTTTTAGGATCTCATTTCCCCCTCCTAACACATCTTGGTTTTGTGTTTGTTTTTTTTTCTGGAAAATTATCAGTTTTCACAATCATCATTATTGAATTATGCCACTTTTGTGATAAATATCCATTTCTACTTCACCTGACAGAATTTCAATCTATAAAGTACACATTTTCATTTAAATTACTTCCAGAATGCTTAGGTAGGTTTGAAGGTGACTAGGTTCAGAGCTGCTGTACATAGAGTTGCTATGGGTCGCAGACAACTCAATGACACATAACAAAAACAACACAATTATAAGTTGTACAATGTTTGGTTGATTATTTTTTATTTAAGCCTCTTGTTTAGAGTCAACAGGACCTAGTGGAGGGCTTTGTAGTTAAAAGTCTGCTGGGCCTGAGGACCTGTGGCCCTTACGTCTAGTGTTTATGTACTTTGGAGGAACATTCTTCTAAATGGTACAGCAATGGTCTGTCAAATTGCTGTACAGATGTACCCTGGGGTTGCTATGATGCTGAACTTTGTACCACTGGTGTGTCAAATGCCATAATGGTAGCCCACAATGGACAGTGTTTGGTGGAGCTCCCTGATTAAGACAGGCTTGGAAGCAGGAGTGGCATCCACTTACTAAATAACATGCCTCTGGAAACTCTATGAACTTAGAGAAAGGACAATAGTTATACAACATGGTTCAGGTCTTTTGTTCATAGGGTCGCTGTGAGCCGTGCTTGACTCAATGGTAGTCAACGACAACAGTGTAATAATGACCATTAAATCAAAATGACAATTCTGAAAATGTTAAGATTGACTATATATGAAAATAACCTGTTATTTTCATTTTGATGGCAAAAGTGGTGTTGGAGTAGGTATCTGGCTATGTAACTTTACATGTCAAAAGAAGTTAAAGAGCTATTTTGGGTACAGTACTGAAACTGACTATGCAAATACATTTGACTGTGTGAATCACAACAAACTGTGGTTGACTCTAAGAAGACTGGGGATCCCAGAACACTTGATTGTGCTCATGTGAAACCTATACTTGGACCAGGTCCTATTCTTGGACAGTCATCAGAACAGAGCAAGGAAACACCACATGGTTCAAAATGAGGAAAGGTATATGCTATGGATGCATCCTAACTCCATACCTTTTCAATCTCTATGTGAACAGATCATCTGGGAGGCTGGGCTCTATGAGGAGGGTTGTTGCATCAGGATTGAAGGAAGACTCATCAACAACCTCCATTAGGCAGATGACACAACCTTGCTTGCTGAAAATGAGGAAGATCTGTGGCATTTGCTGCACAAAGTCAAGCAAGGACTGCAGCTTTCAATATGGACTGAAACTCAACATCAAGAAAACAAAGATTCTCACCACTGGACCAACTGACAACATCATGATAGATAGTGAAGAGACTGAGATTGTTAACAGCTTCTGTTTGCTTGGCTCCACAATCAACACTCTTGGTACCAGCAGCCAGGAAATCAAAAGACAAATTACATTAGGAAAATCTACTATCAGGGATCTCTCCAGAGTACTGAAGAACAACGATGTTAATCTAAAGGCCAAGGTGCACCTGATCCAGGCCATGGTCTTCACAATTTCATTCTCATCAGAGAGCTGGACAATGACTACAGATGACAGAAGTAGAATCGATGCCTTTGAGTTGTGGTATTGGAGAAGAGTATTGAATATACCATGGACTTCCAGGAGAACAAACAGGTCCATTCTGGAGAGGGTGAGACCAGGCTACTCCTTGTAAGCAAGGATTCTGATGCTCTGACAAACTTGGGGCATGTTGCAAGGACGGACCAGTCCTTGGAGAAGGATATCATGCTTAAGACCTTAGATGAGATGGATTGACTCAGTGACTGGGGAGAATAGGGGTAGGTATGTCAGAGATAAAATTAGATGAAATTAGCTCAGGATAGAGCAGGGTCTAGAGCTTTTGTACATAGGGTCACTTTGAGTCACAGGTGACTTGATGGCACATTAACAACAATAAGACTGACATGGAATCCAGTCTTTGTGGCACCCCTTAAAAACATCATTCTTCAGGCTTTAACTATTTATTCTACATTCTCTTAAAATGATTTTTTAAATTGTTCCTATGCATGCTGAAGTATCATCCTTTGAGCTTTTAGGGGTCATGGGGACCTCCTAGCCACATATTAACCTCATTTACCAAACTCACTGCCATGGAATCATTTCCACCTAGAAGTAGATTGTCTCAGTTCTTTCAATTTGCAGCTGGTAGGTTAGAACTGTTGATCTTTCCATTAGTAGCTAAACACTCAATCCACTGTGCTACCCAACAGGGCTCTTTTGTTAACCTGACAGTTCCCTGAATTTCCCAGTTTCTGTGACCATCATCTCCACTGCCCATCAGGTCCCTCTCAGACATACTGTCATCAACAACTGATTTACCCCTGAAATATTAAGCCCAGTTGTCCAACTCTGTGGCTTTGTTTCCCTATATGTTCTTGTTAGTCTCACGCAGACTTATGGGTTTTTTTATTCTCCCACAAATCACCATCTTATCTGCTCAGCTTCAACCCTGTCATTTGCTAAATTAGCCCACTTACAGCTGTGGCTCAGCAACTCCATCCTCCCTTCAGCACCTTTCTTACAAAATGCTATTTCTGGATCAGCCCAACATCTCTCTGCCCTTGCTGCTCACAGCCACAGTAAGCCTACAAATTGGAGGCCCTGAATCTCAGTAAGACCCTGTGGCCTTGCATCATAGACAGTCAATCATTTCCCTCTTCCATCATAGCTATTCAAAACTTTCACCAATCTCAACAAGCCTCACTCTCAGTTTTAGCAAACAATTTTAACTTCTGAGCTGGCTGCTTCTGCTTCCAGATCTGCATCCACATCCTTAGAGAATGAGGGTTCTTCTTCCTTCCAGGGTCAGCCCTCCACTCCCAAGGCTCTGCTTGCTTCCCCAGTTCCTCCCAGCCAACCTTCCAATTGGATCTCCTGGACCAGCTCTAGGTGCCCTTCGCTTCTTGCTATGCATAATCTCATATCATTTTTCCATGGTCTTGCTACTGCATATAAGCTGGAGATCTTATTTTAACTCTGATACTTTCTTTAAGGTCTGACTCAGCCAAATTCAGCACATATTCACATAGATCCTTTCTAATTGCTGTAAAGTCAGAGTTGACTCATAGCTGACTCTCCAGAGAGTTTCAAAGAACCTCCAAAGAGTTACAGCTTTGGCTGTAAATCACACGGGAGGAGACTGCATCTCTTTCTCCTTTGGTGCTACTAATGAAGTCAAACTGACAGAGAGAGACAGCCTTTGGGTTAGCCTCACAGCTCCCTGTAGACACGGCCACCAGAGCTCTTTATGTCTGTACAGTTCACTTCAAAGCCAATACCTCCCAAACCAGTCCCTTCATCTTTCCCTGAAAACTTGCCTCTGATTTATCTTAGATCAAGGTTTGTTAGCACCTAAGGAAAAAACCTCACTTCTCTCTTCCTCATCTTCCACATCCAGTGGAAGTCCTGCTAATTCTCCTGCATAATTATCAAACCCTTTCCCTCTTCTTGGACTTAGGTATATGTTCAGCCCCTTTCCAGACCATTAGGAAGTATGGCATATGGTTTCCAAAGAAGACTTACAACCCTTCATCTGACATGTCTTCATCTGACATGTCTTCTGCAACGAAGTTTTGCTGTTCCTTTCATCTTGAAGTGAAGTCCACTACTGTCCCTCTGAATCAATGTTGGGCCCACCATTGCTTTCACCAACAGAATGCCCAAACAACACTGTATGACTGCTAATGCTGGGTTTTAAGGGTCTTATAGTGACTTTATTCTCACCACTGGGCCAATTGACAGCATCATGATGGACAGTGAAGAGAATGAGATTGTTAACAGCTTTAGATTGCTTGGCTCCACAATCAACACTCTTGTTACCAGCAGCCAGGAAATCAAGAGACGAATTGCATTGGGAAAGCTGGCTATCAGGGACCTCTCCAGAGTACTGAAGAGCAACGTCAATCTGGAGACTAAGATGTGCCTCATTTAAGCCATAGTATTCACTATTGCTTGCTATGCATCAGAGAGCTGGACAATGACTAGAGATGAGATGCCTTTGAGCTGTGGTGCTGGAGAAGAGTATTGAGTATACCATGGACTGCCAGGAGAACACACAGGCTTGTCCTAGAGATGGTGAAACCAAGCTGCTCCTTGGAGGCAAGGATTCTGAGGCTTCGTCTGACACACTTTGGGCATGTTGCAAGGAGGGACAGGTCTTTGGAGAGGAACATCATGCTTGAGAGGGTAGGGGGACGGACTAAGAGAGGGAGATCATCGATGAGATGGATTGATTCAGTGATTAAAGTAATGAGGTTAAGTGTATCAGAGACAGTAAAGTTGGCACAGGATAGAGCAAGTTTCAGGGCTGTTGTACATAGGGTAACTATAAGTTGCAAGCAACCTGAAAGCATAAAACAACAACATTGTGACTTCAGCAATGGGCTCTAGCTTGTCAGAGATAAGGATGGCACAGGGTAGGGCAGGATTCAGTTCTGTTGTTCATAGGATCACTATGAGTTGTGCTTGACTTGACAGCACATAACAACAACAACAACAACTTCAATGTTTCTATGTTAAGTTCTTTTTTAAAAAAATTAATTATAATTGTAAAGATAAATCTAATTAGTGACAATGCTTAGTCAGCCTCTTAATACGTACTGCCTTGCCTTTCACCCAAACTTAATAAGTGGCTACTATCTATTTCCTTTTCTTCCCCCACCCCAACCCCTTTACAATCTACATGCAAAACAGATCATAGGAGAGGCTGGGCATTATGAGGAGGAATGTGGTATCAGGACTGGAGGAAGATTTATCAACACCTATGTTATGCAGATGCTACAACCTTATTGGCTGTAACTCAGGTGGACATGAAGCACTTGCTGCAGAAGGTCAAGGATTATAGCCTTCAGTCTGGACTGAAGTTCAACATCAAGAAAACAAAGATTCTCACCACTGGGCTGACTGGCAGCATCATGATTGATGGAGAAGACATTGAGGTTGCTAATAATTTCAACTTGCTCAGTCACACAGTTAACACTCTTGATGCTAGCAGTCAGGAAATCAAAAGATGAATTACATTAGGAAAAAATATATTGTCAGGGACCTCTCCAGAGTGCTAAAGAGCAAGGATATCAGTCTAGAGTCTAAGATGTGCCTGATCCAGGCTATAGTCTTCACAATTACTTGTTATGTATCAGAGAGCTGGACAGTGACCAAGGATGACAGAAGAACAACGGATGCCTTTGAGTTGTGATCCTGGAGAAAAGTACTGAATATACCATGGACTGCCAAGAAAGAAAACTAACAGGTCTAACCTGGAGAGGATGGAACCAAGCTGCTCCTCAGAGGCAAGGAGTTTGAGACTCTATCTCACATATTTTGGGCATGTAGCCAGGAGGGACCAAACTCCTAGAGAAGGAAATTATGCTCAAAGGGTGGAGGGACAGGGCAGGAGAGGAAGACCCCAGATGAGATCGATTGACACAGTAATTGGGGTAATGAGGGAGGGTGTGTCAGATACAATGAGAGTGACTCAGGATAGAGAAGGGTTCAGAGCTATTGTGCATAGGGTCACTATTAGTCATAGTCGACTCAACAGCACATGACAACAACTGTTTATTAATTTAATTCCCCTCTCCCTTCTTTCTTTAGTATTGTTGTGATGGCTCAATGGCAGAGAGTGGGGTTGCTGATCCAAAGGCCATTCCTCTCTCCCGGTTCCAGTCCACCAATGTCTCTGGGGGAGAAAGATGAGCAGTCTCGTCTCATGTGATTTATAACCTTGGAAACCCAGCAGAGAGTCAGCTATGAGTCTGTTCTGATTTGACAGGATTGAGGAATGAGGGAAGTGTGAATTATCAGTTTCTTTAACTGTTTATTGATGGACATTTGAGTTGTTTCCATCTCTTTGCTGCAATAAATAGGATGTGCATTATTTGTTCCCATGACTGAGTTTTTGCTCGGTCCCTCTTGGAGTCTAGTCACTACACTATAAGAAAGTTCAGGCTGGAACGCTGAGTTTTAGGGGCCCAGCATTTGAAGCTCTGGCCTGCCTCATGTACCTGGCCTTCCTTCCCACCACTCCATGGTACACACACTGTGCTATCTAGTTCCAGATGACTGACAATTAATTCTATAAAATGGTCAGTCTGTGCCTGTTCTCAACCTTTGCTCCCAAATGTTGATTAATGTCCAAGAAATGCTTCTCCCCAACTTGTTTACCTGATTAACTTTGTCTTATTCTATTAGACTTGGTTAGCTTCCCTGGACTTTCTAACCCCAGACCTTGTCACTGTTTTCTCAAAGTACATGCTGTAACCTCTACCAAAACATGCTACCTTGCACTAAACCCAATTTTCAGAGCAGGTTTCCTCACTGACTGTCCACAATGACCCCACTGAGATTAAATAAATTCCAACTCACAGCTCCCTCCACTGGGGAGGACAGAGGAGAACTGCCCCACAGGGTTCTTTATAGAAGTGAACTGCCACATCCTTTTCCTGTGAGTTAGAACTGCTAACATTTTTATATTAAAGCGAATTGCTTTAACTGTTATGCCACTAGAATTACTTTTATTAACTGTAACCTACTTGAAAACCAGGACCGTGTTATTTTTTTTAGGGGGCTTTAGAGACCTAGAGGGTAAGGAATTATGCTCCTAACCCAGAAGCACATGGTTCTGTTCCACCCTCTGCCCCACAGAAGAAATACAGGCAATCTCTTCCCATGCAATTTACTGTCTCTGAAAGCCCTCTGGAGGGTCAACTATAAGTTGATTCTGACTCAGTGGTAAATAAAAACATATCAAAAAGCTCCTGGAGGGTCAGCTATGAATTGGTTCCACCTTGATGGCATATTACAACAACAATGATATTTTCCATCATTGTGTTTCCAATGTTTAATTATAGTAGCTTATCCATAAATGCTTGTTGTTGTTATGTGCCGTCGAGTCGCCTGCGACTCATAGCGACCCTATGTACAACAGCCCTAAACTCCGCTCTGTCCTGTGCCAATCGCACTGTCTCT